AATCCGACGGTTCCGAATTGCCAGGAGACCCAGGTGACGAATAAATCACTGGTAGGTTTGCATGATTTGGACAATCTATACGAGAACAATGAGTAATAGAAATCGACCTTTTGTGAAGCAAGACGTCTGTCGCCTCAACATTCTCGGCCAATATATCACCTGGATGGCTATACATTTGCATAGTTCTCTGACTGAGTCTCCCGTTCGCAAGTTGTATAAAACAGATATAATTTGCTAACAGTAAGAGCTATTTGGGCAATGAACAGTTGTCATGGTACCAGGATAAACAGGTATCCGGATAAGCTCATGTACCGGAGACAGTGTATTTGATGATCAAGTAACACCAGGGGAGCGGAAATCGACCGCGTTTTTCTGTAACATCGACTACTGTATTACAACTGTCTCTCAGCTGTTTGTTTTAAATGGCTTTACATGGAACATAAAAAATTAATTACATGTGTTTCAGTCTTTGGTACAGGATGAATACGAATGTGGTTCAATCACGAGAGTATGGATTGCATTAGGATTGTATCAGTCTATCTCTTCTCTCTCTCTCGACTGAACATATAGCGTGCTTCGGCATTCATCCCCGCAGATATACTGAGTTTGCATTGTTTTTATGACTGGTCAAGTCAATCTGAGTCCGGTCAAGTCAACTCCAAGTAAACTGGGGTCCATGACACACAGTTACTAAACCTATCACGGCGTGCAACGAATCGATTCCATTTTGCCTGGACATCTAGTATGTGTGGGCGTGTCCGTGATCCAGTTAGAGACGACAGTCAGTACTCACTTGCATTCTTTCTCTCTCATCCTCGCTAGACAATTCCGCCACTAAATATTTCTCTGTCCTGGGTGTGAGTCATTGAGGTCGTTACTTCTTGATTAATTTATCGGGCGGCGATGTGTGTGTCTAAAATGTTCCTGCCGTAGGTGCTCTACGAGATGTTCATTCATTGTCACCTTCTTCTAGAAGAGAATAGAACTGTGTTAACCAATGTCAATACTGGACTGGTTAAACATCTGGAAACATATTTGGGAAATATTTCATTCATTCTGAGTATTTTTTACAAAGGAAGGTTAACCAATTGATTTCCAACAAAACATGCTTCCTGTCTAGCTTATGATGTTTCTGGCACGATTCTATCCAAAGACTGCGGGCTTTGAAATATCAAAGCGAAAGATAAGGAGTGCAACGTGCCAATTTTTGCCCGGAACAGAGCGGCCATACTGCAGTACAAACACACATTCGTCGACGTCCGAAGAACGGGTTAGATTCTTCTGAATTTGATCGAGCCTTCTTTTCGGATATAGGGACTCACAAGTAGATCGCTGTTATTCGTGTATGTTGTGGCACATTCTTTCATCGCTTATAACATGCCCGGTCTAACTAACACGAAATAACCTGAATATTCTTCTCCGGAAGTTCGTTCTACTGAACGAAACCGAGTTGTGTGAGCCAACGGGAAAGTAGGAATTCCGGCAGGTTGATTTGAATGTACAATGTCATTCGTAAGAAACACGAGCTAATGAAGACCGAAAGGAACAGTTCAGCTGACAACGAAAAAGGCCTGTCTTATAGAAGTATCTCTTTGTCTCTCGATGAGGGGATGCGTCACTGCTTCACTCGAAGTAACAGACCGAAACTTCTTTATCTCAAAATTAAATTGTTCAAATAAGATCCTGTATGATAGTCAACTGAATTGAACCCGATTGAATTCAAATCTTACAGTGGATTGTTGACGAATTTTAGAGATCGTTATAGCATTGGTGACTGCATCATCAATTTAGTTCAGTTCAGCTGGAGCAACCAACATCCATACAGTGCATCGTGAGCTGACAAGTAGCACCCACGGATGAGGCGAGCAGAATCAATTGATTTTGCTGCATTCAGGGAAATCATTTCAGACCAATGTCGAGTATACAGAAAATCAAGTGAACATGAAACAACGTGAAAGTTTCGCATTTTACCCAGTGATCGGCCACTTGGGAATTTGGCAGGTCGTATTAAAACACGTGAGATCAATACAAGCTTGGGTTTATATGCCTATGAATTATGATTTTAAAAAGGTTTATTTCCTTCTATTGAATTACATTGAATTAGCTGGAAGGGGTTAACGGTCCATGACAGGGCTCCACAAGTACATTTGGTGCCAGTCTGCCCGAACAGGGGCAACATATAAACCAGATGACATATGATTGGTTTGACTAGAGTCAAACACTGAGCGAGAGAGCGAGGGAGATGGGAAGCAGGGGCACCAAATCAATTTGTGTAGATCCTGTTGGTGTGCATCTTATTGTGACTATCATCCCGAACAGAATAATGTCCTTATTCCCGTCAGTGTCAATAAAGTCAATTGTCCGGAAGTAATTAAACACAGATTTGAAATGTCCGTGAATAGCTCGACATGACACAGAAACAGGTCTATTCAATCCGGAAACTAGACACATCATTAAATGTTGGCCAGTAAAAGTGAGATAACATTGACCAGGAACTTGGACAAGTAAATCACGATGCCAGTCGATGTCTTATGCATTATAAGCACTATATATATTTCATAATATGTAGTAAAAAGTAGCATAAAGACTCTCAGTTCACGTTTGTAGCATCTAACCCACTCACACAACATCAAATCATTGTATTGTGTCTTCAATGAACTAGTTCTGATTAAGATTTCTCTATACAAAATGATCCGGTTTTGCAAATCAATTTATTGTGACATACATATTTCAAGAGAATATATATATATATATGTAACACTAACATTTGCAGATAGGCTGCCAAAATAACCGTGAATTGAAAGGGAAGTACAGAAGCCGAACAAGAAACAACAATACCAAAACGATCAGTTTTCAGTCGGGAATAACAACTAATTCGCTTTTTTATGGCTCACAATTTCTATGTTTATTTTGTTCGCGCTGTTTTGGAGATTATACAGAGGAAACGGTGCATGGATATTGCTGAATTCAGTTTGATACCATATCCCACTCAAGGTCTACAGCAAACAACAATCTGATACTAAGCGCCCGCAGCCGGGAAGCCAGATCCGAAAACAAGTTCTTCAACTCTATACATCAAGTCATACCTTGCCCNGTAAGGTAAAAATCGTCCACACGTTTGTTTGACGTGCTCCAGACATTTCAAAATTAAACAGCACTAAATAAGTGCAGGGACAGAGTACAGCAAAGGTGACCTGAAGGGTCCCGAAGCAGTGAACATCCGTTTGGACCTCATTGAATCTCGTCTGCAGTGCACGTCGTCAGACCCAATCATAGGTCAAACAAGAGGCTTCAACAAACGGAAGTTGCTTTCATATTTGTGTACGCAGAGTTTTGTCATCAAAAGAATGAAATCCTCTACCACTGTCGCACAAATTCCAACACGTGAGATTTTAAAACGCCACCCGAGTGAACAATTCGCATTATTCTTGCCTTCACAAACGTGCACACATGCATATATGCACACATACATNCATACATACATACATACATGCATACATACATACATACATACATACATACGTACATACATACATACATACATACATACATACATGCATACATACATACATACATACATACATACGTACATACATACATACATACATACATACATACATGCATACATACATACATACATACATACATACGTACATACATACATACATACATACATACATACATGCATACATACATACATACATACATACATACGTACATACATACATACATACATACATACATACATGCATACATACATACATACATACATACATACGTACATACATACATACATACATACATACATACATGCATACATACATACATACATACATACATACGTACATACATACATACATACATACATACATACATGCATACATACATACATACATACATACATACGTACATACATACATACATACATACATACATACATGCATACATACATACATACATACATACATACGTACATACATACATACATACATACATACATACATGCATACATACATACATACATACATACATACGTACATACATACATACATACATACATACATACATGCATACATACATACATACATACATACATACGTACATACATACATACATACATACATACATACATACATACATACATACATACAAGCATACATACATACAAGCGTGCTCACTATAGCCAGAGAGTAGAGGTTCAGAAAATTGAGCTTCCGAAGTTCCATCTTCGTTTGATAAACCATGTACTAATAGAGGTATGTAAAAGGAGAACGTATCGCTCGCATTGGTGATGAATGCTTGCCACGGACTCTGCTCTTTGTTTATGCTCTTACTTTCGGGTAATTCGCTACCGACCTATGTAGCAGAACTGACACTGGTAACCTTCTGATCAACAGTGCTCGTTCTCCCTTATATCAGTTAATGTGTGGCAATACAGGGACTGGTTGGCTGAGGGGAAATCAAGCACATGATCTGAAGGTTGACCTGCAGCTATTCAGTGACAAAACTGGCGCCAATGCAAAAGCTTTCTCTTGCCGAGCCAGTACATACGTTGCACGCTATATTTCGACAACCGCTACTCCGTTAATCTCATCATTTATAGAGTGTCAGGTATCGAAGTCTGTGCGAGCATGAGATGCCCCCGCCCGCTCTACCATAACTGAAGGATCCCGATAGAACTTGTCTCCTCCAGTTTCACTATGGACGAAAATGGCAGATTATTATTCATGATGTGTAATTGTCGTGCTTTTTATATTTGTATTCTATAAATGTAGATTTCAGTTGTCGCAAAACTGTCCAATAAGTAATACCAAATCATTCAGCAATTTCTAACCTATTCATGGATCTGGAAATTCCGCGTATATCGAACGGTGGTTGTGTGTTTCTGTGACATTTATATTTCCTTTTTCGTAGTACCCTCTGTACTGTCACGTCAGGGGCATCGCTTCGGTGCGTGTCAAAACGCGTTAGCTCGTTGTCGATGCTGGTAGGCCTTTTAAGGAGTTAGCCACCGTGTATTTTAGCTAAAAAGGTGTTTTTCTCATGACATCCGTGAAGTTGGGGCCAATGTGTATGTGTGTGTGTTCACTCGGTTGCAAGAAGTGAGAATACAGACCTGATCAGGGGTCATACAATAGTCTTCGTGACTTGTGCTCGAGTGGTCGCGTCTTCCTCAGCAAGCGCAACACGTGGACGCACTCAACCAATCACTTCCATCAATCAGGATTGTGCGACATCAGACATCGCACATGAATGCACCACAGTTCACTGACGCTTAATGAATCCGCCGCTGATTGACTATCACCGACACCCAACGTGTACGTAGTCTGCCCGGTGTACATGAACTACGCATTCGGTCGGATACTCACATCTACGGTCTGTTGTTCTTACGAAATGAAAGCGGAGTCAGAAATGAATTCAAACCATATCAATATCACACAAACCGCATGAAGCAATCAATATTACAGCCAAGAGGGTGTTTAAACCCAGCAACCATGATTAAGACAAATTCTCTGATATCGCATCGCATTCTTTTTCATTATTCCTTTTTTATTGAATAAATAACGCTACAATTTTCAGGAATGGAGAAGAGGTCTATCAAAAATTTACTATGCAACACAGAATGGGGAAGGTCAGGTTGTGGGATTTGAACACACGTCCTTCGAGCCGATAATCTGGTGACGTTTTAACTCATCCATCACCCAAAGCATCCGTGGAAGTCTCACAGAACATGTAAATAACCTCTCTAGCACCGTCAGTTCATCGTACATTACGAGAACGAGCCGAAACAAATGTGTAAACACGCGCCAGCTTCCGTTGCTATTTATGAATCAGCCAAGGTGGCTCTGCAGCTTCAATACACACCCACCAAAGCCTAAATGAGCTGACGAGCACGAGTGATTCCAGTAAGGTTGAGAAGCCCTACACAGCCCTGTACGCATTACACTCACACATACACGAGAAGTTGAAATTCACTCTTGAGTTAGTCACGAAAATTAACAACTAAACATTAAGCGAAAATAAACTGTGAGAAGAACCGTTGGTTTTAATTTCTTTTGTGTAATGTTCTTTCGTTAAATGACTTAAAAAAGGCTTCCCAAGTGGGTCAAAACGTCGTCAATCGCAAATGGTTAGTTTTCTCTCAATGTGGCCAATTCCAATACCCCTATGCGGATCAAATACGAAGTTGCATCACTAAACTACATGGAGACTGGGGTAAGCCAATGTTTTATTGCATTAAATTACAACTTCATTGGTAAACAGATTTGTCACAGTGTCAATGAGCAGTACGAAGTCAAGGAGTCAGAGACAAAGAAAGGGAGAAAGATCGCACTGATGTTACAACCAGTCACGAAAATTTGCCTGGTGGCAGTGTAACTTCATCCAATAATCGACAACGTGATTTAGTAATGGTTTTGGCTGATGCAACCCATCTCAGGAAGAGGAAGTTTACTACACCGCTGAACTGCATCTGACACTTCACAACTTCCAATGGATTGTTGTTGGATTTCAAAGACAGACAAAACAATTACGGTGACACTATGCGTGCAACAGGCACCAATGGTGAGCACACACAGTTGTATTTCCTGCATCTTTTTTCATTTTTACTTCCGGATGATCATAGAGTTAGAGCAACAGCGTGCTATTTCACGTCCGGTGTGGCACTCAATCCAAGATAAAATTGACAAAGTCCCTCGCGAGGAGCTTTAATTTGCCCTGCAGCGTATTGAAAAATACGGCTGTGATTGACAACTTTCCGGCACATTTATCGCTAACATGTTAGGATTTCTCTGTCTGTCTGTCTGTCTGTCTGTCTGTCTGTCTGTCTGTCTGTCTGTCTATCTGTTTGTCTGTCTATAGCGATGAAAAAACCACAGTGCCCTTGAGGATTCTTGCCAGATGTTCTGGGTTAGTCTCAAAGTCAGCTATGGGGAAGACGCATTGGGAAATTTAATCATTCAGTTAAATTACTTGTGCAGAATGAATTCTGCCTCAAACTGACACTTCACATGCACACACCCCACATCACTATCCTACTGTCCATCTTCCTACCTTGTTCGTAAGCACACACACACATACACCTACACAGGTTTACCATTAACAGCACAGCGTGAGATAATAAAGGCAAACTCCAAGCGAATAGAA